TTTGGGTAAATCCCGACTTATTTAGTGTTTACCGATTATTAAAACCGGACTTGTTTAGGCATGTGTAACAGGACTGTAAAGCATGACTGGACTACAAGTGCATTGCATCAATAAATCATTTAGGGGTTTTATCACTGACCACAGGTCCTGGTCCTCAGCCTGAAGCATTGTTGTTGCCTTGGTGATTTGTAGCGATTTCTTTGCTTTCATTGTTTCCGTTAAATCACGTTAGAATAAAGATTATAATCGCGCATTGATTTACTAGCGTGATTCGTCTGGCCCGCACTACTTGTGAGGTTATAGAACATTAATCAAGGCTTCAAATTCAAGAATTCGACAGTGCCGCGTTATAAGCAAATAATATAAGAGCACAATCAGCAACTGCCAGGTGACGCTCGCCTTCATCTGCATTGCGTTCTGGATATGAAACTGAAAAAACACCGATATATTCCGGTTTATTTTTGTGTTATTAAAGCAGTTGGAAAAAAAACTGATGAAATGTGCACTTGTCCTGACATCTGTAGGAATCTAGGCAAGGACTTTGCAAACAAAAACAGCCTTTTAGTGTCAGAGTCCATGTTCTAGTCATATGTTAATGCAGAAACCTGAATCCACCCTCATTTAATTAGATGGGAATGAATACTTTGCTCCGAGCAGGAACCAGGTCAGAGTCCCTTTGCCGTATCATATTCAGGCGGCAATCGGGACCTTTTATTGAGCATGTCCTATTGGCAGTTGTATTTTGTGGGGCGCAGAGCAGGTATAACGGTTTATAAAGCGCCGCTCACCGTGCATTATCGCAGCGCGCTGCGGACAGTAAAAGATTGATGTCCTGCTTTTAATAGGGGGACATATGGCTGGAGCAAAGGATTTGGTTTCAAAAAGCCGAATGAGGTCCAAAACAATCAGTTAGTAAATGGGCTCTCTCACAGTGCTGCGATTTATATTATAGTCCAATTTATATTCAGCCTGTAAGCTTTATGTTGCGCGCTATAACTTTAATACATGCAACTGCTGTTTACAACGTGATCAGACTTAAAGCATGGAACATGCATATACATATTAAAGCCAACAGCGAAACTTTAAAAACTAATGAAAGCATATAGCATATAATCGACTCTGGCAATCGAAACATTAATTAACGACACACTCAGCTGAATAAATTCGTTTGCTGAGAGATTAAAATGTCTTATAGAAATAGCTTATCTAAATTTAAAAATGCCAAGAGTTTAATGTTATCTCATAAGCACCTCATCTGCCGTTCATACAACTGGACTGAGGACATACACGACTCTTAAAATAACTGGAAATTATTTTTAAAACTGGTTTAGACAAACAAACGGAGGTTGAAATATTACATCGAGGGATGACGTGTAGTTCTACTGGAACAAAAGGAGTGAAGTGTTAGAGCTTTTTCAGTTTTTTTGGAGAATATATTACTTTGTCCATGGAGGTAAATTTAACCAGCATGTTCTATGCAAATCTAGGTCATATGTATGAGAAAGACGGAAATTTCAAAAGGGCTGCAATTATCAAACGATATGCCACAGAGGACGGTTCATACATTGAAGGCAGTGATAAGAATAGTTCTCTGCAGGACTCCTTTGTGGATCGGACGTCATGGAGATAGGGGGTAAGCTCTGAAATATATGCACCTGAAGGGAGAGCTACCGTCAAGCATCCAGCATATTTACGCATGTAACTGATACGAAAAAAATATCTATACATAAATGTCACACTTCTTGGGAGTCTGTGTAACTGTGGTAAAATATGAGTTGAAACAGAGTATTGATCACGCTTATTGTGTGTAAAGGACAACTGGACACCTAGGAGGTTATGAAACAATGGTGTGCGTCGATGTTTTCAAAGTGCGGGTATATACGGTAAAGGCTATGATCTCACCTGTGAATAACCTAGCTGCCATCTTTCCCTTTAGCCTATGGAAATGTATTCAAGACATTCAAGCACACCAAGGTAAAGCTAATTTTCTGCTCTCTGGAGTCAGCAGCGCTCCCTCCGCCCGGTTACACAGACACAAAGGAGAAAGCTCAAAATAGTCAAATTATTTATCATGAACCTGCACTTTCTCCGGGAACCAATTTTACAGGTGTCATACAAGCAATGCTTACTGTCTGTTACGACAGTACTGGGTTCCTATAGAACGCGAATCATCGTGATTCAACGAGATGAATATTGAGATTACAAGGACAGCAGGGCTACTTCAGATTCTTATTCAGGTAATAAAACATTAGGTCAGAGTCACCCAACAAGAATTATGATGGTCGTAAGTATGAGTCACATATCCTCTCACACACACACACGGCTTGTTTAATGCGCACGGATAATACCCAGGAGGACAAACTGGTAAGCACAATGTTAGCATTGTTCACTATGAGCTATTAATTCTATTAAAATGAAATGTCATCATCTCTGCTAATCTAATAGCAGATCAATTCTGCAAGGCTTCTGTTTGGTGCTACGCAAAGATTTACTGATTTTTTACAAGCCCTAAGTAAGTAATCCAGAGTCTATTTGTCATAATGTCGATCTCAGCTCTCATTGTGTTACTCCTCTTGACATGCACCTGAGTGCACGATGCCCAAGGTCCATGACACCAAATGTGATCTTTGCAAAGCAGAACTATTCTGGTACTGGCCTCCTGCTTGGGGGCTCATATTCAACCTTTTTACTTGTGAAATATAAAAACTCCATAGCAGACTGGAAAAAAAAAGCACGACTGGTTCTTGACAGTAGTGAAACTCTGGAATAGTTTAGTGAATTTGCTGAATGTAAAAATGATGACTACCCAATTGGTAGCTGTTTTGATAATGACCTAGGTACGCCTAGGGATTCAAACAGAATCTAACAAATTCCACTGCCATACTTTTCTACTGTATAACCTCCAGATCTGGTACATATCCTGGTCAAGGAGGTTCCCATGTTATGATCTTGCGAAAGGGGTTTGCAAAATACTTGCTTCAGGGGGATAAGTTTAATCCTCCCGTTTGTCACGGCAGCTCATATTAGCGTGGAGCTATATAAATATTACAAGGGAGGTAGATCAACCAATAGCCAACAGGCCGATTTTCTCTTGGAGAAAAAAACAGAGCAAAGAAATCAATAGCTAGATGGACAGACCGTCCTTCACAAAGCTTAACATCAAATTCACAGTGGAATAGGATAAGAACTTGGTATCATTAAAGCAGAGCCAATGTGTCTTTCTCAGGCAAAGTGAGGCAAAGCTTATATCCTCTCAAGCCATGTACATCGCTTGTGGGTAATGTGGCCAAACCATGTCCCCCAAGAGCCTAATAAAATCACATAATACAGTAAACATTTCTGACTGTTGAAACTACCGAATATGTTTGTCAATGCAACGTTCCTTAAAACAGTCTTCTCAGCCTGTCGACGGGTACCGATGGGGCAAGTGTCATTTTTTCTCTATAAAAGGGCAACTGAGGAAAACCAAGGCGATTTGTTTGCTGTGAACTACAAGAATACATATGAGGATTGTGTCATTCATTTATCGTTGACGACTGATAATGGAGTTGAGCTTGCAGTGAAAATAATATATGCTCAAGAGGATGTCACATTTAATATGGATAAGTGATTAATTATCAGTTTACAGTTAAGCTCCAGAGTGATTTATCTGCTCAAAGTTGCATTCCGGTAATTTTTATAACCACGGCTGATCCTTTTGAGAACACCATTATTCTCTGCATTCGGGTTCTGCAGCCGGAACTGGACGTGGGCAATAATTCACGTCTCAGTCCCCATGGAATCCAGATCTCTTCTGTGGGCGTGTGCGTGTTCACGTGTGTGGCTAGGGGATGTGTATCCTGCGGCAACCTAACGGCAAGGTTGGCAGTGACACGGGACCTCACCTCCCCGTGATGACGGACACGGTTAATTAAGGGGGGCAACCCCACCCCGGTACTCTTCCTTGTCTGCAGCGAGGAGGGCTATTTTTCAAAGAGCAGATCTGTAATGTCTAAATGGACTCTAGGGAGCGCCTTATTTCAGAAGCCTCTCCTGCAGCTGATCATTGATTAAAGAGGCTTACAGACTTTCACCTGCTCTAGAGTGGAATGCAAACAGAGAGCGCTTGTCTTTACCCAAAGCCACCGCGGCCTTTTATTAACTCCTTTATTTACCTGCACTCTGAACACTGACGCTTCAGAGCTGTTCAGAATCTGAGCTACCTCAACACGCGCCTGAATACAATCAGTTTATCAGTCACAGTGCTGGTACGTCTGTGCGGTGTTTCACAACTGTACCACCTTTGTCAGATTTACTGTTGTTACATAATGATTTTGAAGAAGATGCTATAGAAATCTGTTTCCTAATTTGCGATTTGCCACCCATTTATCATAAGGAGTATCAAACATACTTTTCACACGTATTTGCATCACCCACCTCCCGCCTTGCGTCAGGTTAAGCTCTCAGCCCATCTTTTCTCTCAAATTTTTCCATCACCTACAACAAGAACTCATGCATACTAGTAGCATAGGCTTGCACATGTTCATGCAACTCTATACCCCAAAAGGTCTGTGTGCCGTCAGCAAATACAGAACAAGCAAGGCAATATGTCATTACTCATGAACATGTATATCTACGGTATGACTATCCTTTCAACACATCTCAGCAAATGAAGTTTGAGTTGTTAATCCACAGTGAGTCACTCTGTATGACTATCAGCCTTAGTCAACGCTAGTTTGCTCGAGAGTGAGCGGTAAACTGTTTGGCACGTTCATACATGTACTTTGTACTGTACTGCTAAATATCTCACTGCTTCATACCATTCTGGTACTGCCAACATTTTTCCCATGCGGTTTATAGCATTTAATGCTACACAAGTTCGTGATTTGAAGGCCAGCACCACGCTGAGGAAAAGTTCAAACAAATGATCTATGAAATTGCAGAATAACAGACGTAAGCATAGCACATTCACTGGAAGAATCATTCCACTTAAAAGAGTCATTCAACAATGTGAAGCCTACCTGCGGAGGTCTTAGTTTCGTTATCTGGGCTGAGTTCAGAACTGGGCCAGTCCTCAACTCCCGTGCTGCTGGGGAACTGAACTCCGACAGTCAGAAGGTGAGTTCTGTCAGTAGGCGAACTGATCTCTGGTGCTGGGGTCGCCCCGGTCTGCATCACGACGGCCAACGACTCTGTGGATTGAGACTCAGCATTGTGGGCAGTTTCCCTGAGACTTGGTGTCAACATGGTTGGTTCCTCTGAGGTAGTGCCAGAATCGGACTTCTCAAGACCTAAAAGCACCTCCGAGACATAATGCTGGAGGTCTTCGGTACCAAAGGTTACCTTCTCCGTTGATACCAATGAGTAGGAGCTATTGAGATCTGTAATTGACTCGGGATCATTCTCTGAGGGAACTTCAGTCACACCATCTTTTGATTCATTTGTAGGTAAATTTTCTGTTGGTTTCCTGTTGGTGGAAAGAAGCCCTGTGACAGGAACCCCTGTGGTTAACCATGCATCCGATGTTGTTGACATGTCCACGGGCTTTTCATATTCATTCATACTGTCTCTGCTGGAAGTGGTGCTTTCTGGGTTACCAGAAGGAAGACTAGTAAAAAGAACCTCCTCTCTTATCTCTGTGGCAACCTCTTCAAGTATGTGTTGCTGTAGGTTAGTGGAGTTAGTGCTAATGTGAGGTGATGTGGTTGGCTGATCTTCCATCCCCCACTGCCTGATGGTGGTGTATTGATTAATTGTCTGGCTGCCAGTTGGTGTAGAAGTGGGTGGTAAGGAAGGAGGATGATTTGAGGGGTTTTCAGTGGCAATGTGACTGTCAGAGCTTGATCCAATGAGAATCTCGTAGCCCATCCCACTTCCCTCAGCTTCATGCTCAACTTCTGAGGTGAAGCTTTCTGAAGCTGGTTGAGGTGATACATCATTTGCAAAAGGCTCTTTGGGAAGCGGGTAGGCAACCTCTTCTTCTTGATCTTTCCCCTCTCCAGAGAAATGATCTGGGATGTCTTTAGAGGAGGGTAAAACCAAGAGTTCAACAGCTTCAGCCCTGGCCTCCAAAGATTTAGGGAGTTCCTCTGAAGCATCATCCAGGTCATGAGGTTCAGATAAGTTTTCCATCAGTGTGGGCAGCTCTGTTGACATATCCACTGTGGAGTCTACTGGGGCATTGGTCTGAGGATTGCTGCCCATGGTTGGACTCGCTGACATGTACTCTTCGTTCCGTGTTGTCAATGAGGTTGCCACAAGGCTTTCTGGAGAACATTGTGTGCATCCCGTTGTGGAGTTGAGTATCGGTGCGTCATAGCTGCCTGGCGAAGTGGTCGACACTGGCACATTCCCAGGACCAGAGAAGCCAGATGATTCAGTCATATTCGTGACCTCTGCATGCTCTGATACAATTACTCCTGCAAGGACAAGACAATTTTATTAACTTAGTGAGTGCAAAAGATGGCTTTGATAAACTATTAAATTAGTAATGGCACACGTGCAAGCACAATCAATAGAATGTTTTTTGTTGAAGTTTATAGAGTCTGCATCAGTGTCTCCCTCAGTTTCGATATGGGCATACTGTTTACTGCCCACTGTTTAATTTAGTTTTAGTGGCTAAATCTTTTGTCAAACACAAGGAAATAATGAGAAATAATGATAATTGGATCTGTTAGCTCTTTGGAAAGCTCATAATTTATTTGCATGCTTATACTAAATCACATTCGGCGCAATAATTTTCTGTAATTCCTGCTAAACCTGGGTAAATAATTGAGCTACAGTGGTGTCTGTCAACTCTGTCCCCCCCTCCCCCCAGCCACCGCCCACCGGGCTCCACACAAAGCAGAGACCAATCAGCCACAATTAAACACTTCCTTTCGTACTTCGCCCTCTTTCTTACTGGTTCCTGTTTCAAAGAGGCCAAATCAAACACCTCTTGAGCGCAAGAGCGTTTTAAGCACAGCGGGCACCGGAGTTGGAGACGGCACTAGGATATACGGCAATCCCCAGACCAGGGGCATGCGACTGCATGGTACGCAGTACAAACAGCTGTTAAAGGAGCTCTGACATTAAATATTAAACCTTTGTTAAATTATTTACTACTCATCCGTCACATTTCTCTTATCAACTATTGAGATGCAATGTGCATAATAAACGTATTACTACTCAGTGCAAGCACGCAAATCCATAGCTCAGCAAAGAGATGTCAATTGCATGTGACAGCATCCATATCTGAGGAAAAAACATCGCTAGACAACCATTAGACTCAGGATATGGGCTTTTCCCAGGCATTTATTTTACTGCTGCATCAACAGACTCGAGGTCTGGAGCTGCGAGACTGGAAGACAGGGATCTCATGGAGCGGAAGAACAAATTGTGCGTAAAAACGGTGTTTTTATTAACAGGGTTCTACGTGGGATGCGAGCTTGGTGCGTGCCGTTAAGGAGCCCCACATACAGTTGGAAGGGTCCATTTTTACACTCAGACCGCGAAGGGTACTCCTGTGACGCCTCGGCGCTGAGGCTGGCCCAGTTTCGCCACTCGCGTCCGGCGAGCGATTCCCGCGGCGAGGTCGCATAACGAGGCCTCCACCGTTTCCTCGCAGTTGGAAACTGATTGACAAAGACTGGAAAATTCATACCACATACAGTAACTTGTTTTTCCTGACAGCTGATTCCAGTGACTCAGCGGGAAGCATTGTTGGCCTCATATCGGCAGGGTTTGGGGGGGGTTTGAATCCCACGTCTTTTTGCAAGAATGTGTCCTGCAATAGGCACCCCCAGCACTCCTGCAATACTCCCTGGAGCACCCCAAGCTTGTGCCCTGTGCTGTCTGGAATGGACTCCAAGCCCACTGCGAACCAGACCAGTAGAAGCAGGCAGAAGATGGATGATGGACTGAAATTTGTAAGAGACAAACGTGCAAATGGCAGAGTCAGAAAGCGGCGCCTCTCCTATCTCGGCCTTCGCTGTTTCCATCTACAGACGCTTTGGCGTTCAGAATAACTGGAAACAACATTTCAAGATGGAGGCTATAATTGGGTGAGACTCAGCACCAGAGCCCCCAGTAAGTGCTGCATTAATTGCAGACAGCGCTGAATAATGTATACCAACCAAAGCTAGACTTTCACCTAGTATTAAACATTAATGCCCATGGCTGAATTTGGCATGGGGTTTGTGTGTATTAATGACGCCCAGGGGATGGAAAAGGCTGCCCAGGCACTGAATTATAATCCTAACAATTTTTCACACCTGCCTGCTGTCTTCTTGCTTTATTGGTTTTGCTCCTGAGTGATCCAGTTATTGTGTCGTTTTTTACTTCTTCACTTTGCTCCTCCATACTGACCATCCATCCCTCCACCCATCCATCCATCCCTCCACTCCCCCTTTCACTGATTATCCCAGTCAGGGGTGACAGGGACATTAACAAAGATGTCTCAGGTATCGACTCTAATTTTAAGCCATCTAACAGGAATGACGGCCGTCCCCTGGACTGTGACCCCCCCGCTACCCCCACCTTCACCCTGCTGCATTTTGCTTCTCCCCGGAGCTAAGATTCAGCCTAAATATTTTTTACCCATAATCCCTTTTCCTCTCACCTCTGGCCCCAGACGTCACTGCTGTTGACACCACACTCGGTGCCGTCCACTTCCCTGATTTAATAAACTCCACTAAACCTCTCTCCACCAGTCTTCTACCACTTTCCACAGTAGTTTTTAAGACTCCCAAACTGCTGATTGAGACAAAATTAAGTAATATTCGCAGTGAGCTATTCCCCTTCCCGACTGCGTATTTTCGTACGTGACTTGATTAGGAGTACCCACACTCAACATCAAATTGAATTTCGCTGCAGCATAGCAAACTGAACTAAAGACTAACAATGCTGTCCTCATTTGAGGCAAATATCAAAGCAGTACACAAGCTTCATTCTATCTATTTTTTCATGACACCAACCGGTGATGTAGGACTGAACCAAGTGACCTCCAGCAAAGTAACATTTTGTGGAACATACTCTTTGAATTCATAGTGTAGCTTAAAAGTATTGTATAAAAACATGTAATATAATCAAACATGCAATGTAAGCAGGAAAATAAACAAGACCCCCCCCCCCAATGTTGCTTACCACCAGAGGAGACCGTCTCGAGCGCTTCCGGAGTCTCAGTAGGGATTCCAGTAGGATTCATCCAACTCGTCTTTGTAGCTGCAACACCGTGCTTTGGCTCAGAGGTGATTTCCCTCTCCCACTGAGAGAGTTCCTCATCTGAGTCTGCTGCGTAGCCTTCTGAGACTCTGCGTGATTCCTGTTCCCCGAAACTCTCCAATATGGCATTTTTGTGGCTACTTTTGCTATATTCATCCTTGACTCCTGGTGGAGTTCCCCTTCCCGACTCTGTCGGCTCCTGATTCTCCGATAGGCTCTCTGTGCTCGGGGTTGCCTGTGTGGATGGTGATTCTGACTCAGAAGACCCCGTCAGATACCTCCAGGGTCTTATGAAGGAGCCCATGATATTCGAGATCAGAGTGCTGCTGGTCTGGGCCTTGACTGTAGGGGTGGGAGTAGAGAAGACCGGTGGGAGTGATGAACCTGAACGCACGTCAGGATCTTCATCTGCTTCCTCCTCTCTGGCAGAGCCTCCGTGGCTGTCCAGGCTCTCGAGTGCTGAAGGTAGCAGGACCGTCGTGATTTTTGGAGCCAGTACCTCCTGGGGACCCTGGACCTCTGCACCCAGCTGCTCGGCCCAGTCGAGAGGAGCCTGCTCCGACCTGAGATGGATCACCACGTGTTCCTCTGAAATCTCAGACTCGTTGCCCATAATGGAGTCCGTCCCTTCTTTGTCCAGGTCCACCAAACCAGTCCAGGTGGAAGGCTCAGCCCGGGACAGGTTTGAGACCACACTTAGCTGAGAGCTCAGGATGCTCTGCCCGGCTTCCGTGGAGTCATTCACAGGTGTCCTGGAATGAAGAAGCCCCACAGCTTGTTCTGATGGATTTCCTGCTGGTGTCTCTGCAGTTCAGATGGTGATAGAAAGACGATTACTAATGTACTTATGTTTGTATGCACACCTTTATGTGTATATACATACACAAACACACACACACACATATAATCTCTTACCCTAGCTGAAATTTATAGACACATACACTATATGGCCATAAGTATGTGGACACCAGCATATCTAACATCTCATTTCAAAGCCAAGGGTAATAGCATGATGAAGCTGGTCAGCCCTTGGTGCTGTAATAGCTTCTACTAATAGCCTGGGAAGGCTTCCCATTGCATGCTGGGACACTCCTGGTCGGATCTCCTGCCATTCAGGTTGGGTATTGATGCTCGGTGAACAGGTCCCTTTCTCTGAGACGGTGTGACTCACCACTGCACAACTAAATTTGCTCCCAGACACTATGACCTTCACAATCACGTCACTTGCGGGTGACCAGGACAGCTCTAGCAGGACAGGAATGTGATGAAATGACTTGTTGGGTAGACAGTGTCCTATGATGGTGCCAAGTGGAAAGTCACTAACCTTTTTGGTACAACCACCCACTCTGCTGCTAATGGTTGTAGCAGGAGATTGCGCGACTGTGAGCTTAATTATGCGCCTGTCTCAACAATGGGTGTGGCTTAACTAGGAAATTCCTCTAATTGATAAGGGTGTCCACCTACTTTTGGCCATTTAGAGTATTATAAGGATTTGATAAGAATTTATGTTGCTCTTTAGACAAAAATAATATTCCAAGAAAATAGCAAGCATTAAAGGTGACAAGAATGCTCTGAATTCAGAATAAAAATAAGAATTCTGGACAGGAGGGAAGATGGATTGGAGGCAAAGACAGAAAGCTGGAGGGAATAAAATGTCACAGAAGCCAGAATCTGAACGTGTCAGACGACCGACTCAAGCACTTAATCACAGGCGGCCGGCGAGGGACGGCACCTCTGTAGCAGTAAGCGTCGAAGGGGGTCGTCGTGTCCGGGAAGCCGGTGCGGTTGGGGTTCAGGTAGACGGTGCGCACCCCCGGCTCGCCCCCCCCGCAGTTCCGGCGGGGCTGGTTGATGGGGTAGCGCACGCTGCCGTCTGCCAGCCAGCCGGGATCGCAGCGGTCCAGGCCCGACTGCCAGGCCAGGTAAAGCTGCCCAGCGGTGGCCAGCTGGCCGCCCAGGGAGTGGCAGTGTGCGGGGGCCTTGGCCAGACTCAGCTTCTCGGGCACGGTGGCGTGGAAAACCTCGCCTGGGGGGGGTGGGGGGATAAGGTGAATTAATTATGTGGTCTGCTAGAGAACACAGGAGGTGGAAAAAGGAGAATCTTGCAGGAACATATAACATATTCTTCTTAAGTGAGTTAAAAAAGGGAACCAGGCAACGAAAAAGCATTTTAAAGAATCCGGGGAATATCGCAGGTCCTCGGTTGCAGCTTTAAAACCGAAGCCGATTACAAAGCCTCGCAGAACGTTCCAGATGTTACAGCTAAATGGTGGACAGCTCGGGCGGCCTTGACAACATATGATGTATGTCGGAAATTACCCCGTTTTCCCAAATGTTCACTTAAACACACGTGTAGACTCACCTCTCGCACGACTGCGAGGTGCTGAGCTTTAAACAGTACTGACCTACTTGAGACAGAAATGGAGATCTGGGGTATGCGGATTACGGCGGCTCACGCTCGCGAGCGAACATGAAACCGCTGCTCTTCAGCCGCCCTAAAGACTCGGGTGTCGTGCACAGCTAAATCCTTTCCGAGAAAAGGTACCCTTCAGTTCCTCGGCGTAGCAGTAGACATCAAACAGATCGTCTGGGGCCCTGCTACCGTAATTCCTCACACCAGGTGAGTCCTCTCTGTCTCCATAGCAACCTGGCCTTGGTGACTGAATTGGATACCTGCGGAAAGAAGCCAGAAGAGTGAAGACATTTCTCCGATCTTAGAGTGTGAAAAAAAAAAGCTCACACTATCACTGTATACACGTTGTGGAGTTAGCGTAAGACTGAACAGCTAAAATGTCATTAAGTTATAAAACCATACAAGTATCAAGGAGTCTCATATCATCTCTACAACTGATCGCCTGTTTCGTCGAGTGATCTTGCAGATCTAGGTTAGATCTACAAAGGGTAAAGTGAAATGGAGGCTTTTGCCCCCCCCCCCCCCGCCACCCACGTGGAACCACATGTGTTATAAGATTAGAAATAGCCTAACTGGGGGCAGTAGTTCATGTAATGGTGAGGAAACCAATCGTGTGACTCAAAAGAAGCCGGTGAACCTTTAAAAGATGCGCTTCATGTCTTCTGTGAATACAAACGGGAGGTAATTTGGGTAAAAGCATCTGTTAAGCAGCTAAGTATCGTGATTGAATCGAAGCCATTTGGAGAAGGGAGGAAGTATTAAATCTTCCCAGCAGGGTCATCCTTGTCCAAGATCATTGTACACTGCAGCGTTATATCGAATTCGTTCCAGGTACAGCATAGCAGGTATTAGTGCTAAAAAATTGGACTTGCGAGCAAATATTAGGTCCGTTGATGGTCACTCAAGCAAAATGTTGGCTAGGGGATTCTGATTTCCAGTTAGGGTGAATCAGTGGGCATAGTTGTTGTGTTGAGTTGAATTCTCTGTGGCTTGAAATGAAGCCTAAACTGAGTTTAGGGTCTGAACATCATAGTCCTGAGTAAATTTGAATGTGGTGTGTGTGTATGAGAGCACAGTGCCCCTTAGAGGGCAACAACCACACTGCAGCCGTTGCATCATCGGGGGGGGGGGGGGGCAGTATGTTTGATGCTCACCTGACGGTTTGATCGGACAGCCAGCCCGCGTCGCAGTTGTCGTAGCCGTCATCGAAGGTGGCTTGCAGCTGAGCGGGCGTGGCGATGACTGCGGAATTTTCTAGACACACGCGCTTGGCCTCCGTAAAGGACAGGGCGTAGCGGTCGTGGGCTGCGCGGTAGTGAAACACGACACCTACAAGGGACAGAGTGGTGCTGAACCAACACGGGCGGTGACACGGGTAAGCTCAGAACAGCACGGTCACACCGACATCTGCATCACTGCTGCGGGCATAACGGAAGCCCGTACGTCCAATTTGCCACTTAAACTACACTTATATTCCCCGAATGGGGCTTTTTTCAAGGAGAAATCATATCCAGAAGTCTGCTAACATCTGAGTGGTAATATCAGGAATAGAGGTATGATCCCAGTGTTGCTTAGAAGATGAGAAAAACAATAGCAAGGGGAACCAAAATAAATAAGAGCAACTGCAGAACTGCAGACCCAATATCTCTACTGCGAAATCCAGACTGCGGGGAAATGATTTTCTGCGTTTCTCCAAATACTACCACCAGCCCTGAAACACCAACACTATCCCTCTCTGAAGGCCAGTATTTCCTCTTTAGGGAAATACAGTGGACTATAGGTCAGGGTGGAAAAAAGCACAATCTGGATGTTATGAAGTAAAATAGGAAGAAAATCCCTTCAGCTGAGGGCCAGTTTCGCCAGCAGAGCTCCAGGCTGGGCATGAACATCAGAATTTGCTCTGTCTCTGTGATAAAAGATGCCAAATGATAATTCCTGAAATAGTTTCCATTTCAGATTTTCACAAGCTGGGTTCACTCGTTCATTCTGGTTTTCTTCCAGAAGTAGCAGCACTTAATCTTCCTCAAGAAATTGGGTTTATACCCAAATAAGTCCAACTAATGCCTGAAGTATAAAACTAGAGCCTGACTAATACATGAGGACAAACCTCTAATCTGCTACTGCAGGGATGCACATTTATAAATTTGTTCCAAAACATCTAAGCAACACGTTCGGAGCCTAAAACTTTCAAGGAACAGTGATATTATGTAGAGAAAGGTGCCGTTCGGTGAAACAGTGGATAAATACATCTTTTACTACTTCAGAGCACTCCTTAGAAATGCCTGCTCATCGGTATTTACACGCTTATTGACACAGGCGTATAGTGCAACTACTCTAGACAATGGTACATTAAAGGGGACTCTTGGGTGGAAATCAATGGTGGGAAAGACACAGACGATTGACCACCCAATGTGAGCTAAAATTGCTGACAAAATAAGATATAAGACCTTTGAAAAGAAAGGGGAAGCACAACTATAGGAGGACCCAGTTAAGTAATATGCTATTGATCTTATTTAACAATATTGATGCTAGTTAATTAACTTTTGGGACTTCAAATCGTGCACTGTCCACAAACACACGCTGACTTGCAATTAAGGCTAGACCCTTGAGATCACTAGCAGAACACACAGTAATGGATGTGTTTCTCCAAAAGAAAGGTTTCTCTTACACATGTTAATTGATTAGCTATGCTGGGGAGCAGAGGTGGGTAATTCAGGTCCACAGAGTAAAAGTCCAAGATTTTGTTTCAACCAGCCAGTTGAGCATAAAGATTCACAGTCACAACTGCACTCAACTGCTTGGTTGAAACAAAATCTTGATTTGGACTTTTACTCTCTAGACCAGAACTACCCACTTCTGCTGGGAAGATCTTGAGCAGAGGTCTTAACAAGAACAGCAGGAAATGTTCTGAAACTAGGGACCAGTACACTAGTCACACCAGATGCTTCAACACTCAGATTGGTGAGTGTTAATTTATGTTGGTGTGCTGATTATAAAGTGCACAATCACGTTAAACACTGCCGATCATTTTAAACATGACTGTCCTTAACATTTGCGGAAGTATCTGAAACTGATCACCACACAGCATACAACATGTAAGGACATGGGATTCACCCAAGCAGCACCTCCTTCGGTGCATTTCTGTAGCTAGAAGCAAAGAAATTTTGACCTAGAAGTACAGTACCACAAACAATAAGGAACTGAACAAAAGAAATCAAACTCATCATCGGTAACCAATTTTCTCCTTCATTTTTAAGGATGGCAGCAAAAAATGAATTTGTATCAAATTTTAGGACGGAGGAATTTCTAAAGGCTGAAGGTGACGTCTGAGGGCATACTGTCAATTTGTCCAAAAACACATAAGAATTTAGGGTTACATTAAGAAGATGGCGGCTGGGTAGAGCCATTCCCCAATACTATAACTTAAAGGGCTCCTAAGTGTATCCATTAATTCCCTTATGACTACAGACCAAGGTTTCATTTCAACCAACCAGTTGTACTCTCTGTGGATGTAACTCTGTATGTTCAACTGGTCAGTTGGATTTCCACCTCTGCAAGCAGTATATAGCTTGACCAAAAGCATGAGTGATGGTGATCAAAGTCTGAGAGGGAAAAAACTCTGGAACTACTGGAGTAGCCCTAAGTGACATCCTGTGTCCAAAGTGTCCCCCTGTGATGCCCCTCGTAACCCTGTCCAGGATGGTTGGAAGATGGAGCAATAGATGGAGAAACAAAATGCATTCATTATTTAAACAATAACCCTCCAAACCATGAACAATAAAAACTTCCAAATTTTGTAAGCACTGATGTGTTACTATGGGTGCAGAACTCACCTGAGACCACTAGGGGCACTGTGTCCTGTTCATCATTAATTCCAACTACCACTTCACAGCGGTACATGCCTGAGTCACTAGACCGTAGACCAGTCAGGGCCAAAGTGGCATTGTAGCGGTTATCTGGGTATCCAGGCAGGGTGACGCGGCCCTGAAAGGCCTTCTTCACCTTGATGATGTTGTCCTTGGCCACCAGCACTGACTGCTCCCTCTGCATCCCATCTGGACCTCTCTGCCCCCAGAGTTTGGTCCATTTGATGCGCGGGGGCTCGTGGGAGGGGCTAGGGCGCAGAGTAAACACACACGGGAGGAAGGTGGTGCCGGCCAGCTTCTCGTGGATCACCTGATGTGTCACCTTGCGCATATTCACAAGGGGGTCTGCCCAGCTTTTGCCTGTAGAGCCCAAAGAGATGGAAGCGGTGAGAGAAGCCATCACAGGGCACAACATTTACAGGTGTTCTACCAGATAAAAAGATTTGCAGCAGTTAAACTAGCAATTGGTTGGATTTATCTAAACTATGCAAAATTCAAACAAAATCCCATGATAACATTTAATTACACGGAACAGTCGGTGTAGCTCCCAGTGGACTCCATAAAGTACCACAACTCAGTCATAACTGTTTTATTGGATAACAACTCTGAAGGGTTTTCTGCTATCTAATGAAAATACATGTGGACAACCACAGATTTCTATTTATCTTTAAATAATTCTTTAAAGATTTACAGATTCTGTTAAATCAGTTGTACTAATCGTGTAGCCCACAGTGCAACATCAAATACATTCAAGAAATGCGTATAAATAGCTTATTGCCATTGACTAAAAGCCATCCATGATAGCTTGCTGGCTTGCCAAAAGGCGTTATTGCAAAAAGTGTTTCGTTGAGGCTGGGCTTGCAGCTTCTCAGAGGTAACAAATGTCCCTATTTGCCCATGTGCAGTACAATAAGGCAGCTAGCATAGTTGTCACACACAGACAGCTAATTTAACAAACTGAAATGCAGCCATGGAGATGCAACGCGGCACAGATGCTGGCTGAGACATTTCCAGCTACACGAGACACGTCGAACCAGGAGGGATCGACTCTAAATGAACACTATAAATCGCGATAAACATAACGGCCCATAGCTGGAGGTAAATACCTGCTATCGGTAGATGAGATTTAGCTCGTTTTATCTGTACATCCAGTACCTATTCGCATTTTTTGGGGGTTGTTATCTCGATTTCAACAGCGCTGTTAGATATCCGTGTTATATGGGGCAGCATTTTCCATTACTTTTTTAACACTACATTTTACATTTTCTAAGTTAACGGTGCCCATAAAACGATCATTAATTATTGGATGTGCCTTAACTTATCTGTACCGGGCATCACAGACATTTACTCTCTGGATAGTCCCAAGGGACATTATGAATTGGCGTTTTATATTATAACAATAATGCTTGGTGTTAATTATTCTGTGCGCTCTTTTTTGTGGTTCACTCACTTGACCGACTTTAATTTAAATGCAGATTATTGCTTTGCTTTGTAAAGTACACCAACAGCAATGTTCCCAAAACGCATTGTGGCTGCATGTAAAACAGCATACCTATATCAATTGTCACATCAGTGTTTTATAAACGATCATTTACCGATCGCCAGTGAATGGGTGTTATGACCAGGTAGTACTGATCAAACGGTATACAATGTGTCCTAGCTAATACCGAACGTGCTTCAACAAGCAAAACACTTGTCTCTGCCACGCTGACTGTTTAGCTGGCAGGCACAGCAATCTTAATTAAACATTTTGTTTGTTTAACAGAATCTCATTATTTATTTTTTCCCCCTAATTTCCGGACTTTTTTTTTCCACGAAAAGCCATCTTCAGTAACAACAGATAAATGCTACCTTAGCTGGTGCTAATTGTATGGAATCTGTTGACCTTTCAGCCAAACACTGGAAAGTATGTTTGTGCTTGGCAGGTATTGTCGTGTCAGAGTTACTAATGAGAACAGTTTAGGCTCGTGACAATGAAAATAATGCGGAATAACAATGATTATTGACGCCTTCTGTGGAAAGGTCAAGTCATAGGCTATTTAGTTTTCATAATTATTTGATTTTCTTAATTATATGTGCAAATGTAAACCAGGGATCCTGGGATATTTGCCTATGAAAGTTCTCTGATGGCTTTCTATTAATTTCTACAGGATGGTGGAGCGGAGGGATTATCCAGGTAAGATAAATTACATCCCAGATGATAACTCTAGGTCTAAAGTTTTATTAAACAAAAAAAGTTAGCTGTGAGCCCTTTTTAGTGGAGACCCCTGGGATTGGGCCCAGGTAAACCCCTATTGAGTCTGAGGTCTGCGTAGGTCCCGGCGCAGGTTGCGCAGCCTCCCCCGCCTGCGCAAACCGTTGGTGCTAACTCATCCCCAGTGACAGTGAGAGTCTACGGCGTACGCCTCACATCAGCTTGTCAGGCGGCGCGTGGCTCATCCCCAAAAAGCATCTGTTAATAAAAGCGCAGCGATTTATCAAAGATACCATTCGAGAGGAACCGGCGAGGCAAACGTATACTTAAATCATGTTTTATTTCCATACTGAGGAAGGATAAAATCTCATTTCGGGCCGAAATGAATGACGCGGCATGTAGGGGAAAATCGAAGGCGCTGACAGTCTCCCTTAGAAGCACAAAAATGAATTTATTGATCCGTTTTCATCACACTCGCCTTATTTTTCTCCTACGCACCTGCACTCCACACCCCACCCCCCCCTACCTGTTTCTATTCATTTGGTTGGGGGTGCAGACCACTGGGAGACTCTCACCATGATAATGCCCTTACAGTAGTACTAGAAGACTCACTCCCTGAGAAATGGTCGAAGAGCACACAGCTGCTTACCCCCCCCTTCCGCATTACTAATGAGAGCCAGGCCCTCTTGTTTTTCTCCAGGTTTATATCTATGTCATGTCTCGGTCACGCCGTGCTTCCTGCCTTTTCCTGCTTCCGCTGAAAGGCGGCCAATCAGCCGTCCGCGGCAGCGTGACACGCACACGCACGCAGCCAATACAAAAGCCAAATACAAAAGCAACTAAAACTAACTAAAGCTGGCAACAACTAAAAGCAAACCAGATGTAAAAATAACATATATGCCCAGTTCCTGTGAGGAGCTTTGCCAGTGTCAGTACAGACAATTAAAGGTGAGAACATGAGATGGGCCTTAACTTTCTATCAGTGGTAAGGATGCAGGTTAGGCAGATGGTCCTTTAAAGAACTTTTATTACTTTAATAGTTTAATAGTTCATCATGGCTGACTCAGATCACCAGCGCATGAGTGACTGAAATCCACGCTCGACTCAGATCCTGTAGCGACAGCCCTCGGCTCAGGTACGGATGCGTCCGTCGCATGAAATCGAAAGTAGAATGCCGATCGCGCCTTTATGACCGATGTCCGACTGGAGCGTTTCACGGTACCGGTGGTGTAGCGCTGTCCCCCTTCTGGAAGCCATGCAGAGGGATGTGTACACAGGTGCTGTGAGTCCCGCCGATACAGACACATCACAAAATAACGTGCGTGACGCTTAAGCCCATGAGTCGTTTGCTTGACTGGGCCACCTTCTGAGAGCCAATAGCCATGACGCCGACTGGTGAATTATTTATGTCACCCCCATTGTCCCACTCACGGCGTGACCCGTAACTTCAAAGGACGTTGTATTTACAAGGCAATAGCAGTAAGGATTTTTTTTTTATTGACAGAGGGATGTAGGACTCACTAGGGAGCCTCAATATGAGCAATTGTACGTCAACAACAATAGTGTACAACCTACAGTATTTACCGCCACTGTCTGTTGAAGTCAGCGCACACTGTGAAATTTAGTTGACCGCGGTGTAACGGGGGTCATGTTTCACTTGTGATGGAATGGGGGGGAGGGGGGGTGAGGAAGATGCAATTGAACGTTTGAGTCTTGAGTGAAATCTCATCTCTAAAGTTGTACAGAAGAGCATCTGTTTGTCCGCAATGGAAGGTGCGGTTTCCTTCCAAAGGGCCCTGCAGTGTGGTTTTCTTATGGAATACAAATCACGGCTCACCATGAAGCGAAGTTTTCGAAGTGACCGAATTTTCATCACACTTATTTATTTATCAGATGCTTTTATCCAAAGTAATAGATATTTGAAAAAGTAGTATCAGCCCGTCCTGGGAGTATCTGCAGGTTAAGAGCGTGAGCCGCCCTGATTTTTGGGCTCGACTGTATGCTAATGAATCCGCGCTGCTGATTTCCATCCAGCGTGATGGCAGACTTTGGCAAACAGCACATCAATAATCTTTATTACTTTTGCATTGTTGCCGGTCCCGTGGCGGCATCGCTAGCGTACGGTGAATTACACAGCGTACTGTCGAGTCTCCCTCGTCCTTGTGTAAATATGTGCTCATTCATTCTCTGGCTTGAGTCTCCCTGCCCTGACCTCTATCGCATTTCGAACCGGAACTATTTACTCTGCGACATAAAATAAAAACGATTAATCGGAGATATTTCCTTAAGAATGGCGGCTAATGGAGAAATCGGGGGGCGGGGGTGCATGCTATCCCCACATGGCTAAATAATGAATCTAAGCAGCGTGTCCCCATCACTGTAGGAATAGAGAATCTGCATTTAGATGGAAATGTTTTTACAAGCACAGCTCCCCGGAGACCATCCCCCCCCCCACCCCCCGCAACTCTTGTTTGAAAACCTGCCTGGTTAAGAGAAAAATGTAAAAAAAAAAAAAAAAAATTTTTTTCATTTCTTAAAATAATATGCAATTGTGATAATCCACGGGAAGGGAGGGGGGCGCGGGGGAAGGCGGGGGCCAGTCCCATTTTGGGATCGCCCCCCCGTGCTGATCCAGGCCCGAATTGCCCTGCCGCGCAAACTGGCAGGGCAGATGCAGAGACGCGCGTCATTAATTACTGCCATAATAATCCCACAGTGATGTGGCGCACCCCCCCCCGCACCCCCCCTCCTCGCCTCTAATGGATTTATTACTGACGGGGGCTCCTTCTTCCTAAATTACCTGCCAGACAGAGAGGTGGCTGATCGATGGCTCCGCCCCTCTGTCACCGGGGGTGATTTCTTTGTTTTCCGCATCGGGCGGGATCTGCACGCGGAGGAGAGTTGCGGCAGCTGCAAGCATCCGCGAGCTTAACCACGGACGCATCGTGGATCGCGACCATCGCTCTCTCGCCCGCCCGGCACGCCTCTCCGTCACAGTCTGCGGTGCTTCCAGAAGATTCTGGAGGCCGCACTCCTTCCGAACGCGCTCTTTCTGGGCGACACCCCTTCCCGCGTGATTGACCGTGTGGTCGCGGCCCGGGACTATAGAGGTCGCGACCCCTCGGCTTCGCGGAAGGGAGACGTGAGAGAGCACAGAGAGAGAGTTATGCTAACACCCCCCCCACCGCCATCACGCTATTAATAACCATAGCAACAGACACACAATAACCAGGCACGGTGTGTGCTGGGGAAACCACGGTGTAACTGGCAGCAGAGCCAGGAGGCGGCCCGGATCCGAGAACCGTCACTGAGCCGTGCGCCGCTTCTCAGGGGCACTAATGCGTAGGTTTGCACACAGCCTTCCCAGCCGCTAAGACCTGTGTGCCAGCTACCCTGCCCCCCCACCCCCGCCCCAGACTGGCGCCGCCCAATGGACCGTACAGAAGTGGGGGCTGCTGGGGGCAGGCGGGATGGTGTGGTGGGGGGGAGGCACATACCTGCTCCATGGAGTTAATTGCTTTCTTCTCCCGAGTGGACGGAGCGTGAATCAAAGGAGAGACAAGAAACAAAGAGCGGCAGTGTGCGCGCGGGCGGGGAGGGGGGGTCGTAACGATGCTCCCGTGATGTTCGGCTCAGGCACGGAATCCTCTACCTGGACTCCCTCAGCAGACCCGAGATGTGCCCACCCCCGGTCTATGAATATTAATGGTGACGGGGATCCGACTGCGTGCGCTGCACTGTGCACGGAGCGCGATCAGAAGCCGGGAGGTGGGACTAATTCCCGCACACCGTTTGGCAAGGATGCGCTGGATGTGCTGGCTGGGGGAGGCGCGGGAGGATATGGGGAAATCACTGGACCAGCGGGGGGGGGGGGGGTGTCAATTTGAATAAGCCTTCTGGGAGGGTTGGTTGCACCTGGTCCCTGCGTGCAATAGGGGGCGCTGCATCCTTCCTCCAGGAGCATCCATGTTAGGTCTCTCCATCCGGAAAGCTCTACATCCGTAAATGCTTGCCAGCAATCTGTCACGCTCGCCGCAGACACTCGTGTCGCTGACTTGCAGGGATCTGACCTCCTGCTTAATGCGGGGAGGGGGGGGCACAATTCGGCACTGATGGGTCTGGCAACAGATGGCTCACGCTGTCACGTTCAGATGGAGCTTGCCGCCGGGCACCGATACCACCCTGTACCCCTCCCCCCTCCTCAGCACGTCACCGGCAGACGAGGCCATCCGAGGGTCAGTGAGGCTGGCGAGGGAAGCCTTATTAGCCAGACAGGTCTGGATCTCAGCCCTGGAAACATCAGGCTGGAAACACAGACAGCGGCCTGATAAACAGCCCGCAGCTGATCAATAGACGTTTACTTACACAAAAATGTTCGGAGGGCAGAATGAAAAATGATTGGTTCAGAGAGATAACCAATCAGATTGTAGAAGAGGTGGGCCTAAGCAACTGGAGGAGGCGGGACCAAGACATATGATTGGTAGGCCCTGCCTCCTCTAGTTGCTTGGACCCACCTCCTCTGTAATCTGATTGGTTATCTCTCTGACCCAATCATTTTTCTTTCTGCCCTCAAAACATTTTTGTCCAAGTAAAACTCCCATGAGCTGACCGAGGACGTGGTTCAGTGGGGTAACCGGCTTCCCCTCCATCTGGCATTCAACATCACAGACTCCAACCCAGAGTCTGGGAGTTTCCAAGACAGTCAATGCCGGAAACGACGGCTAAATAAGCCCGTCCATAAAGAACAGCCATGTTGATAAACTTCTGGTGGAACATCGAGAAGTCACCACGTGCGACCCTGAGATGTGGAACCAGCATTGAGTGATGGGCAGCTGGCCAGCCTTGCGAAGATGCCACCACTCAGGTAGATGTGATCAGCTGCTCGATCAGAGAGCGCTTTGCAGCCGCTGCCTCCGCCCCCACGGCGCCTCACCCCACTGGCCACTGGCAAAGGACGTCGGTGCCCGTTGCTTTACCGCCATCCAGGGCCCAGCTGGGAACTTACCATATCCCGCCACGTGGAGCAGAATGACAGCCAGAAGGCCGGATGCACGGGTGGCGCTCCGCATCCTGGACCTGCGTGTGAAGAAAGAACACAGACATTACATTCCCAAACCCAAGGACAAGCATCATCATGTGCTGCTACTCTACTTTGCAGCCTCCCCGTCACATCTGAGACGGTCCCACCCAGTGAAAGTGCATCTCAAAAGGCACAAAACTTTGCACCCCAGTAAAACAAGGCAGCAAAAATAAAGAGTTGCTATGAATAAAAAGATCAGAGTGTCATGCCCGATCGTCCGCTCCTCTCGTGTGCCATGCCCCCTCGTTAACCCCATGTGGATTCCCCGTGTTTACCAGCTGTTCCCGATCGTTGTCAATTAGTCCATTGTATTTAGTCCGCGTTTCCGTTTGTGTCCCCAGTCCGGTCATTGTAATGTCTTCCCGTGTGTTGCCTGTTCCTTGTGTTGCTGCGTCCATTAAACTCCGTGTTTCCCCCCTAACTTCTGGCTTCCTGTCGTCCCAGCGTGACCCAGAGCAATAAAAATAAAAACCAGCAATTCCATAACAGATTTACCTGCACCCCTCTACATATATTAAAATTTATATTAAAAAAAAAACAAAAGATTGCAAAACATGTTCAGAAAGACACAGGGATACCATCGTTTCTGGCACAGTGGGTTCAGACTCTGCGCTTGTGATCAGAAGGTCGCCAGTCTTTTCACTGTTGGGCCGTTGTGCGAGGCCCTTAACCCTCGATTGCTCCAGAGAGTGTCTGGATCTGCTTTCTCAATTGTAAGTCGCTTTGGGCGGAAGAATCAGCAAAATGAATGTAACAGTTTGCATTATGGCTACATATTGATCTTGAAGAAACTGTACAGTCTTGCTCGGCAATGGAAATAGCACATGCTAATTTAAACTTTACGCAATACACAGCATCTCCGAGAGCAGCATCGTGACGGAGACTCAATCGCGCTGGAGCCTCTCCTCCTCCACGCTCCTCCGTGTGTCCGTACGCAGCATGTAGAGTGAGAGAATAAAGCATCCTTCCCGCGAGCCCCCCCCGAGGTTGCTGGCCTTCTCCTGAATGCTTGATGGGACAGATTTCCAGCAGGGGTCAGAATGAAACATGAGGTGCCCCCGGCCAGATCGGGAGGGCGATAGCTGGTGTCTGTCACAGCGCTCGCGTCGGCTCAGTGGCAAATGGGACCAAAGCAGACGGGGGCACGGATAGGATAGCAGATAGCGTGTAGCGTCTGTACCTCTAAAAGCACTACAGTTTCAGCCATTAAAACCGTCTGCGCTTCATGATGACCTCTAGACTGCTCGTCTTAGCACAGGATGGGCCGAACTGGGCCAGCATTCAGTGCAGGCTGGCTCCAAATGGACCGGGCCATGGGAGGGGGCAGCTGGCTCATATCACAAAACCCTTCAGGGGAGCAGCAAAAAAAAATAGCAGGCATCCACGCCGGCTTGAGTCATTTGTGCAGAGCTGCAGAGCTGCGGAGTTGTAATACAGCAAGGTTATTTGCAGGGAAAAGGAAGCAGGCTTTTTAACTGTCTCTCTCTGCGCTAAAAGGCTCTTTGCCCGGAGCAGCCAAATGAAATGAGTGCATTCTGTCAGCATGCCTATAGCTTCATTTCCTGCGACCTCGGGGTCATCTAACCAAAACCCCTCAGGAACATCATCTACCGAAGTGTGTCTTAGATATATCTCCCGGGTGGATGCATGCTATTAGTGACTGGTTAGTCTTTAGTCTGTTACCTTCCCATCAGTCTTAGCTTCGCCACTGTAGTTAGGGGAGGCATAAGTGGAAAGGGGGCAACAGGAAATGACATCACAATAACACATCAAGAGATCACCGTATTAATACATAATAGGATTGAATGCAAAACTCAATGTGAGATTAAATTCTACTTTCGGTCACTGCAGATGTCCCAAAAATGTTTCTCCATGGTTAATTATGCTGAGAAACTTATAATATGCGATTTTGTTGTCTCCTGCGTCATTTTATTTGAAAAAAAAATGAAGCCTTTCACTCCCAAACGGGCTTTTCCATGACAGCTGGTGCCACGTGCTCATTCAGGTGGCATTTAGACGAAGATCGTCTCAGGCTGTCATTGCCAATCTTCAACAGATGCACCACAAAGCACTGCTGCTGGAACACCTGTGCTCAACCGCAGCTTGAAGACAAGCCCAGCAGAACCGGCGGTGGAACCAAGTGACCTGAAAACGTAGCGCATTTTAATTTTGCTGATTGAAAATCTGGCGCTTCTGCCAAAGAGGTCCAAGAGGCGCCACTGAGATGCTTTTGGATACCATGTGGTGGAAGGTGGTTCCTAGCCATGTGTGTCTGCATGTGTGCGTGCTCGGATGCGCTCACTGACGGGGAAAGGCACACTGAGGCAGGAGATGCATTTCAGAGGCAGAGAGGGGCCTGTCGCATTAATGCCAGCCTGCAAAATGGGGCTGTCAGTCACACTCAGTGGAGGAGCCCTCTGCTACCCCCCCTTTAATGTTCTGGGGGTGTAGATGGGGTGTGACACGCGTGTGCGTACGGGTCCGTGCGTGTGTGTCGCCCTCCTCACTATGAGGTGCAATGGAGAAAAATACAACAGAAAGACTCACTGGGTAGAGACAGCGTGGTCTGTGGTGTTTCGCTAATGGTATGGCTTTGCTCACATGGAGTCAGAACTGAACAGCCCTCCTCGTCACGCTACGCACCACAAAGTGAAGAGCAAGCGATCCTAAATTCCTAGCTTACATCATTGGCTGTCAGCTGTAAAGCTGTCAGGAGGGAGCGTATTCAGGGGCAGGGCCACTGGCCCCAACTGAAAGCTGATTGGCCCCCGGAATGCCGCCTCCCCATCACTCATCGAGTTGAAACGTATCATTGGTGAATGACAAGATGGGCCCCTGTGTATAAATTATGGCCCCTCCCATGCCCCCTGGTTAAAAAATCCTTGAATCATCCCCACTGACAAGGATTCCAGTTTTATTCCAAAAGAAAAGACAGCAGTCCACTAGAAAACAGCTCACTTTATTCCACTAAAAGTCTGGCTAACATGGTCCTCGGTGGAGGAGAGGAAAATCAATAAAATTTCACGGTGGATGGTGATGTCACTTTACAGTGAGACTCCCAGCCTGTAGGGTCGCTGTGGTGCACATTAAAATCTTGTTGATCTGACAGTGACAGTATAAGAGAATGAGAATTATAGACGCTTAAGCTGCGTTCCATTTACCTCGGAAGTCGGAAGTCAGAGCCGGGAATGACGTCACACCCAAGTTAACTGGATTCCAGTAGAACAAGTCGGAAAGCCATGTAGCAATACTAGGGGCCTTTTTCAAAAAGCAGGGTTTCTTGTTTAGCTGGATTTAAGGTATCCCAGTTTAAACAGATATCATCTTCCTTTACTTACATTTAGCCCAGACTACCTTAAATCTGACAAGTTATCCGGCTAAGCAAGAAATCCTGCTTGAAACAGGCCCCAGTTCTAGCCAGGTTCATTGTTAACCATTGTTAGTAATACCAGCTTTCACTTCTGATGATGACGGGTGCATCCATCTTTAATTCTGAGGTCAGGGTTGCAGAGGTCCCTCTGACTATCCGAGTTGGAATTCCAACTTCAGGGGGCGTTCCAGTTGATATTACCGATGCAAAACTCTGACTTCCCAGTTCAAATGGAACGCAGCATTACGTGTTTCGCCAAACATGGCCGATAAGGGCTCAGCAGCGCCCCCTGGAGGTGAGCAGGTGGGGCACAATCGATGAAATGCGGTTTCATGAGCGGTGTGAAGACTGCATCATTGCTTTATTATTTCCCAAGGTCTTCAGCTCCTCGCCGGCACATATTTCACCACTGCCTTAAGCGCGCAGCCCCCATCGGCGCGAGCATCGCCATGCGCAAAGGGGCAGAGCTGGGGCCAAGTCAAGGCCATTAAGACCATCCAGTTAATCAAAGTGAGCGGCCTTGATTCATGACGTGCTGATGCGTACTTCACTGAGGGCCCATTTGTCCTGCTGTAACCCCCCCCCCCCCCCGAGAAATGTCCAGCGCCACACCCACCTCCAGCAAAAGATCTCAAGAGGAAACCTTTAATGCAGCTGTACAGCATCGTATCAAACATATGGATTTTCATCATGAAACCTGAGGTCTGGGATGTCAGATGCTTTTCTGTGGAATATTCCAGAGATCCAAGCATAAGCATGTCAAATGGACCCATTCCACTGAAAGAGAGACAGCTGAGAGAGAAGGACATTTAACTGACACCACTAATTAACTTGATTCTGGACACTGTCTCCAGCACTGATGTTGAAACACAGCTAAAACATCACCCCCCCCATAAAGGGGGAGACTTTCGGGGGGGTCAGACACTAGGGGACGCCCATGAGTGTGGGAGCATGGATAATGGAAGGGCGGGGGCTAATTCAGTGGAATTCTTCAGGGGTCCAGCCATGTTTTTGTGTAGCCCTGCCTACGGACAGCCTGTGCCTGCTCGGGATATCATTGTCCCCAAGCTGTTTATCGTAAATCATTTCAGGCGCTGTCCCCGAAGTCCACCCCAGCGCCCAGAGCAGGGCTGATTCCGGTTCACTCGCTCCGGGGGTAAACTCCGCTATAACTATTTGGTTTGCGATAAACAGAGGCCGGGTTTCTATGCACAAAGGTGGCACCAGACACGGCGGCCGGTCACAGAGACGGTGATGGGCAGAGAGGGTGAAAGGTGGCGGTAATTCAGCCACAGGTGCAGTTGGAGGATGCCGTGGGCCGCGTTTTAATAAGACTCCATTCTGCTTGGCCTCGCGGGATCTGCAGCTTGATAGCATCTCCCTTGCGACACATGGCGTGGACGTCGTGCGCCGCTCGCGGTATGCAGATGAGCTTCAGTCCGGGGAATGGAGGTGCCCCAAACCAAGCCTGGCATCCCCACACAGCAGCCACAGGTGGGAGCGCCAGGAGAGCACCGGGGAACGTCGATTCCACCCCCACCCTCCCACCATGGTGCCCGAAGCTCAGAAACTGTCACAGGCATTTTACTAACCAGCAAAAACACACCTACAACCCACCCCCCACTG